AGACTAGGATGATCCTGCCTTGAGCAGTGGGGTTGGACTAGATGACTTCCTGAGAACCTTCCAGTCCTACTTTTCTGTGATTCTGTGGTTCCATAAGGTTTTTTTGCATTGCTCATATTCAATAATGTTCAGATAGATGCTTCTTCATAGTTTCTTTGGAGTGGTTAGAAAACAAATCTTTCCTGTTAATTATAAATGGGAAATATATTCGTTTTTTCCCTTGGCCTATTTTCGATAAGGTATTGTGCAACATTAATAGCGGGACTTTGCCTTTTAACTGAAAATACTGTAATTCTACCATGGCCATCACTAGTACTTTTCTAAAACATGGCAGAAAGATTTCTCGAGCAAATGTACACAGGTTCATCTGCAAAGCATGAATCTTATATGTAATACTCTCTTTTTGAAACAATTTTAAAACCAAACAGGAGAGAAATCCATACCCTCTTGTCTTTAGGCTTTATGGAATTAAGTTTAATTTCTTTCTTAGTCTGTAACTGAGAGTCCCAGAGGCATTGTAACATGAGGAGAGTATCCATGACCATCAGGAAGAAATTAAAAGATAGAACTGTTTGACTTCTTATCTTTATTCTGCAATTGTGTAATAGATATTCCAAGAAGCTGTGCTTTTCCAGTCACAGCAGAGTAGACTCTGTAATGAAGAATGTGCCAGACAGAAAAATGTCTGAAAAAAGCCAGTAGTGTTTGAGTGATGTTGTAGCCATAATGGTTGAGGAAATATGCAGGAGGCAAGGATTTTTGAGAGTGATACCTGTTATTAAATAAGCTTTTGAATGCAGTACTTTCTGCAAAAAAGCTAATATGGTTAAAGGGATTTTCTGTTGAATTTTTTCTGGTTGAAAATTTTTGTCCTGTGCTTCATTCAGAGGTCAGTTGCTATGATAGTACAGAAGCTTTTCTTATGTGGGAATCAACCTCAGCTTCCTTTTCCTTTATAATTATTTGCAAGAAAATGTGAATTTTATCTTGTTCTCATAGAACAGTGTAGACTCTCTCTCTCCTTTAGACATATACATAAGCTGTTCTAATAGGGAGTAAGAAAATCAAATGCTATCAGTATCCCTTTACATTTCAGAACAATTTGCATGGGTGAAGGAAATGTGAAATCCAAATTTTGCATTTTTATTGGAAATGTGGACAGTTAATTTTGTCATTGTCTTCTGGGAAATCATCTGTATCACTTGAATATTGCATACAGTTGCATCTAAGGTTACAAATGTTTGTGTGGGAGGAATGGAACCAGCTATGTTTTAGAAAACTGATTGCATCTGGGATTTTATTTTGTATCACTTTAATATTAAACTACATTATTACTGTTTGCCTTATACAGGATATTGGCGCAAATGAAGATTTTAGTGATTGATCATTGCGTCTTTAATTGTCCACTTTTCTGTCCTCCTACTCTTAACTATATTGGTCTCCACCATGTATATTGATGCTGAGTATAAACTTACGTGATAAATAGCAATAATGTTCTGATGATTTAGTGCTGATGAGTGTCTTTTGTGGTCTTGTACTAAAGAATATGTCTGTACATACCTGTTCATACGTGCTGCTAGGCACTGAGCGTGGCAACGAGAAGTGCTGCCTTAGAATGGAGGAGGGTCTCTGAGGCTGTGTTTGATGTTGGGGATGTAGGAATCTCCATCTTCCTAAAAACCTGATTAAAAACATTTGAGATTCTCTGAATATGATTTGATACATTGAAGGCAAAGTACTGGATCACAGAAGAATGAAGATTTACTAAAATTAACTCCCGTCACTTCTTATGTTAAATACACTCCTTAAAAGTGGAGTGATTGTTATTTAAATTTTTTCTGAAACATTGTGACAGTACTGTTTTCCACTTTGCATTACTGTTGTTGAGACCTAAGGTTGATTTTTGAGGTCCAGTCTCAGAATGGTTGGTACTTGAGAGACCTGAAGAAAAGGATTTTAAGAGTTACTTTTTATACCTAGGATTCTTTTCTGTTTATCATGTGGTGTTTTCTAGCTGACTCTCCTTCATCCCTTCTACTCTGCGGTGCATGAAATTTGAAGGAATATACTTTTCTTTTTTCTTTTTTTAAATTTCAGCTGTTGTTCTGTATGATTATATCAGTTCAGATGGATGGGTAAAAATGGAGTGTGGTCTCTATACTAAAATATAAGGACACCTGTACACGAGCGGAGAAACTGCTTCAACGCGCTGGAATTCCAGCAGTCTGCTGGAATTAATCGAGTCTGCAGTTTCCGTGCTCCAGCAGCCTCCTGCGTCTCCTGTATCAGCGCCCCTGCGCTTAAAAAGGGCAGTGGGAGTGCACTGTCCTTTTTAAGCATGGGGACACTGATACAAGAGATGTGGTGGAGCTTTAATTAGAGCACCTCTGAGAGTAAAAGTATAAAAGTGCTCTAAGTGATTGACTCTTTTCTTCTGTGTTGAGAAGCAGTGCAAACCAGCATATGCTCCTTTTGGATTTGGTATATTTTCCTTTTATCAATGTTTGCCATTTTTTACACATGTCTGTTCCCACCCTTCATGTTTCATTGTTGCTTCACTTTCTTTAGAATGTTGTGAAGGCGCTTTTCAATCTGGGTGTTACTTTTTTGTGTTCTTTTAATCCCAGAGGCCCTACATTATATCTTGTCTCAAGTCAAGGAAAGTAAATCTGGTGCCTGTAGAGCCTACTGATACCATTGATTTTGCTAGCAGGCGAGGTGAAACTGTGCCTTTTTCGGTTTCTCTATCTCCTCTGCTGCTCTGTACAGAGGGCCAGTTTCCAAATAATTGTGCTGGTATAGGCCAACCAAGGTAATTTATTCTCGCTCTGTTTTATCGGTTTCTTCCTTTTTGGTTTGTTCTTTGTTTTACTTTCTCATCTTTGCAATTTTCTGCTACATCGCCTCTCTTTATGTATTTTGTGGGGAATGTGGGGGAGAATGACTTCAGAGGAAGGGAGATTATTTTTGGTTATTGCTGCTTAATGCTTCTCTTTCTGAGGTGGTAGGATTGGGAGTCGAAGTGTAGATTTTTCCCTCTGCTTTGCCTTAGTGGCTTTCCCTCAGTAAGAATTACCACAACTTCAGTCTGTTTCATTCTGCCGTTTCTGCTATGGCCTATGCTGTATGGCAGAGGGAAAGTAGGTTGTTGGCCTAAGCACTGAGCTGAGGACATTGATTTGCCTATTCTCTCCGTCCCATGATATTAGAAGGATTGTCTCTCTTGCCCTGCTGCATCCTCTTCATCTGTATGTCCTTATCCTGAATATTAAGGAAATAGTCTTAGGTTAAATGTTATTTCCACTCTCCTGCTGATGGAAATATTTGTATCTTCTAGGAATAATCCTTATTTTTTAGGATAAAAAAAATGCATATTTTTGTGGTCTATGCAGCTGTACCTCAACAGTGAGGGAACAGCACTAATTTTGTTAGTTGGAGATATGGATACTTACCATTCTAAGTTAAGAGCCAAATATGGTTGCAATTTTCAATGATGCATTACCAGTGAGTAAGGAGTAGAGGTAATTAGCTGCATGTGGAGTTTTATATGGTAATTTTCAAATAACAGCATCTGAGTAGTGCTAATAACAGTTAGAAACAATAACATAGAACATTTCCAGGTTTAAATGTTTGATATCTTTAACCATTTAGTGTTTAGTTTTAATATAGAAACTTGTAGAATAAATTATCAACAAGGCCAATTTATAATAAAGAACATTCACACACACAAAATTAATGGTGTGGTTTAAACTGACAAAAAAATCAGGACATTTAGAGTTGGGCTGCAGTTCTGTTTTAAGTAATTTGTGGCTATTGTGTAGCTGTTGGTATGGATTGTCCTGTATTAGATGTCTTCCCATAGCCCTAAAAATGTTGTGATCCCATCATATGGATATATTTTTTAAGTATTTTAAAATGTATTTAAAAAATGTGTTATAACCCCATGCACAGGGAACTTGGGTTAATTTATGTAAGGCACAATTCACCACTGTAGTTTAATTCAATGTTTTTTCCTGCTAGTGCTGCTGTTTCTTCCCCTTCCCCATGCCCCCTCCCCCTTAAAAAAAACACAAACAAAAAAAACTACCAATAATTGGTCATTGTTGGATAATTTACCATTATTTACATTGTCCTTGAAGTGACAAATTAACACCCCTTTATTTTTTCATACATAAAGCGCATTCTATCTTCAAGTTGAATTGCTTAATAGGCAGTTAGAGCCCTCAGTCACCAGAGATGGAGGAACATACTATTTTTCTGAGATATAGCGTCTCTGTTTCTGATGGCTTTGATATTGTGGACTTCACATACAGCGTTACTTCTGATACCTCTCAGTAATACCATGATGTATGTAACTATCCCCTAAGAAGATGAAATACAGATGAAGCACCTTTGCAAAGTGTGCAACGTGCAAAATGTTTGGCTTCTGGGGTCATTATAGTGCATATTACAATACTTTTGTCTTACTCTGACAACTTTGATATCAAACCTTTGTGAAGACTTTTGGGGGCTTATTTCTGAAGATGAGAACATTTCAAATTACTTTAATATTTTAAACATGGTGTTTTATTTTTCTTAATTGCTCTTTTATGGGGAAAAAAATCCTTAAGGGATGGGATAGGCTAGACCCTAGGGGTATGATAGAAAAATACCTAATTATATGACTGTAAAGTGATATAAACACATGTATAGCATTATCACATTTTTAAATTCCTGTTTTCAACACCAAACAGTAACAACATCACATTTACAACTAATATTTGCTTCCCTGGGTGAATTGTTTACTAAATTAATTTTCAAGGCAGTAAAGAGAACATGGGAAGAGATTTAAAAAAGGGGGTCGTCTCCAAAAGGTGAATTGCCAAGAGTTATTGTAAAATTGAAAAATGCTAATGAAAATAAAGTACATGCTATTAATGTTGATGTTCATGCAGTCTGAAAGAGTTTGTATCCTGTTAATTCTTATAAATAATTTTTTTCTGCTTGATTCCTTTTTCCAGGTGATTCATGGCAGGGGACGTGGAAGGGTTTAGCTCCTCCATCCATGACACCAGCGTCTCTGCTGGGTTCAGAGCACTGTATGAGGAAGGATTGCTTCTTGATGTCACTCTTGTCATTGAAGACCACCAGTTTCAGGCACACAAAGCACTGCTTGCCACCCAAAGTGATTACTTCAGGATTATGTTCACAGCAGACATGCGGGAACGTGATCAGGACAAAATCCATTTGAAAGGTCTCACTGCCACAGGCTTCAGCCATGTTCTCCAATTCATGTACTATGGAACTATTGAACTGAGTATGAACACTGTTCATGAGATTCTGCAGGCTGCCATGTATGTTCAGCTTATAGAGGTGGTGAAGTTCTGCTGCTCTTTTCTCTTAGCAAAAATCTGCTTAGAAAACTGTGCAGAAATTATGAGACTCTTAGATGATTTTGGTGTAAACATTGAGGGAGTCAGAGAAAAGTTGGACTCCTTTCTGTTAGAAAATTTTGTGCCACTCATGTCCCGACCCGATTTCCTGTCATATCTGACCTTTGAAAAGCTCATGTCTTACTTGGATAATGATCATCTGAGCAGGTTTCCAGAGATAGAACTGTACGAGGCTGTTCAGGCTTGGCTGCGGCATGATAGAAGACGCTGGAGGCATACGGACACCATCATTCAGAACATCAGGTTTTGTTTGATGACACCATCCAGTGTTTTTGAGAAGGTTGGTGCATTTGAAAGCAATAGACAGGATTCATCATTTAGCTAGGGCAGCATGCCGTTAAATAGGTAAGATTCCCATGCTTGTTAGGAGGAACAAAGAGAGCACTGATTTTTTTTTTTCTCCAACAAATAACATATTTAAAGAATATCATATCTGAAAGTAATGTCAACTGATTTTAGAAAATAGCACGTTTGTGACTGGAGAAGCTAGAGTTTCTTAGGGTTTATTTGTAAATGATTTCTTTTAAGAATATTTAAAGGAACTCTTAATTCATATGAAGTTTGTTTTATTTCAGTCATTCTTGCTGTCTTCCATATCTTGCTGCTTTATTCCAGGGAACTCTTGGGATGTCCTCATAACTGGGTATCAGTATAATGGAAGTCAACTCGCATGGTCTCAATTTTAGTTGTAGATACATGCACATTGTATATATGTTTAAACTGTTGTTTATTACAAGAAATCTACATTTTAAATAAATGTCACCATGTACTATAGCAGTGTGTGCTACAAAAAATGCTTCGTCTGAAGGAAAAAAAAAAGTAGCAAATGGTATGCTGTTAGATTAAGTATCATATTGATGTTTGCAGGGTAAAATTTTTGGAAAGCATGCAAGTATGACATAGCTACTTGAGAGCTCCTAAATCTTACTGAAAGGCAGCTATGGTTAGGCTCCTAAGTTACCAAGACATTCTTGGAAGCTTTAGCTATAATGTATCTTTAGCTTTTTGTATGTACATATACATGTACATGTAGAGGGGGAGATGATGTTCAGAGGGCTACACTAATTTACACAAATTCTGGATTAATAATTATTCAGGGAAAAAATGCCCTTAAAATCCCTGATTAGAATTTAAAAAAAAAAAATCTTGCCCTCTTACTTGGCAGCAAAAATATTTTGAACAAGTTTTTATTACAGCATTTAACTAATGTTCTTCTCAGCAGCCCCAGTGCAATTCTGTTGAAGTCAAAACTTCATCTCCTTAGAGCAGTTTCCATTCTTGCTGTCACCTTGCTTTGTTGATTGTTTTTGTTTTACCTGCAATGCAACTATGTATGCATAAAGAATAAGGTCATAAGTAAGTTAGATGCTGCTTCCTCTAAGGAACAAGTTTCTCCAGATTAACTTGCTATTTCTCAGTGTCCAGTGTGCATTAAACACTATCCTCATAGCTAGATGTTTTTAGCTTAATAATCACATTATTGCTAACAATAGCAGTGAACTGCCTCCCCCCCCATGGTGTTTTCACACAGTTGAAAGATAAATATTCTTTTGTATCGTTGTAAGAAGATAAAGTAGGAAAAAGGCTCCATTATTTAAGCTTCTTTTTGTTGCGTTAAAGTATATAGAGTCTGAAAAGAGACTTTATAGTAACTTGGTATTCCATGTTAGATTTGTTTATGTTAATATAAAATATGGATTTGTTAAATTTGAAAGTTAGTTTGATTTTGCAATATTTTGTTCATTTTTGTTACCAGTACTAAAATAGAACAAAGATACAGTAATTGAAAGCTAGAGCTCTGACACTGAAAAAATTTACAAACACGTTTGACTACACACACACACACACACACACACACACACACACACACACACACACGTATAGTATAGTACATATAGCAGCATTGAAGTTAAGTGAACAGTTTTATTTTTTGCAGTGACTTGGATCTGAAAGGAATTTATAGATCCTGTTGGATATCACATTTATTCCTAAGATCAGAAGAGAATCCTTTATTTTCCAAATGAATGAGGAAAAACAAGAAATATTAGTTTTTACTTTGAAAGAAGAAACTTATTTGTCAACATTAGAGAAATCCAAAAAAGTGAGCATTTGTGTGGCTTAAACACATAGGGTAGTAAAAAGAAGAGCTGTTTAGTTATGGTATTGAGGCCTCATAATTTTACTATGAAAAAATTTGTATCGTCAGACACCACTTTGAATTTTATGGCTTTTGTCAGATATTCTTTGCATTAATATAGTTCATATGTATGTGAGGGAGGTTGTATGTAGCTTATTTTATAACTTTTGGTGTAGTTTCTGGTAAATGCAGATAAAACTTTTTTTGTTGTATTTATTCAACAAACCTGTTATGAAATAGCAGATTATCCTACAAACATTTGCTCATCAAATTCCATAACTTGACTAAGAGTAGTGGTGTGAGCAAAGATTTGTAGGCTTAGTCCCTTTTTTTTTTTACAAAAAGTGTGTTTAAATACTAATATTTAAGCCTCACTTTTAAATTATTATTTAATATCATAGATATTAATAACTTGTTATGCTACCGTTTCACTCATTTTCTTGTGCATTGGCTACAGGAAGTAAAACATCAAAATATTTGTTTACATTGTGCCTAACCAAACTTATAGGCTTAAGTCTCTTGCCTATTACAGTATGTCTATTGGCTAGATGCAAATTGTTCTCACATATGGCTCCGCTTAAGCTTTGCAGTGCCAGAAAATTAGATGCCTTTTTCTAGGAGGGTCATCCAGATCAACAGGCTTAGGCACTTAACTTGCTCCATTAATTCTACAGGAACTTATGTGCCTCCAAAGTTCAATGCAGAGCACTAGTGATAAGCAAGGAGCCCCCTGTAACTAAAATCAGATATACTAAAGAGGATGTCTCTATACTCCCTCTCCTCCTCAACACTTCGGCACCTGACTCAGTTGCAAATCAGTGTCTCAGTATTTTTAGAGGGGAGGCAGCTAATGAACCAAGATTCCTCATTTACAAAGTGCATTGAGTTCAGTACAACATGCAGTGTCTGCACCCACTGTCCCTTGGAAGTGGTGGGTGGCAGTCGGGGCCTCAGTGTTATAGCACCTATCTAACCTATGGCATATAGATACATGCAGGGTAATTATGATCAAATACATGTAATATATATATTTTAAACCTATATCTAAATGTTTCTATCCCACCACTATTGAAGTATAAGGACCTGATTTTTGCATGGTGCTGAGCACTCTTGCCTTCATGCAGCAAGACACTTTCTAATGGGAAGGGTGGGGAGCAGTCTTTAAGAAGTTCCCTAAAAGTCTGCAAAGTAGGCCTTTGAGTGAATGGGAAGGAAATTTTACAGTTGAACTGAACTTTAGGTATATAAGCTCATGTTGCAGGTAGTCTTCAAAGAGTAGTTTTCAACCGTGTAGTTAAAAAATTCTGCTGGATTTTAATAAATTCTTAGCTGTAACTGCCGGCTTGGCTTTGTTTTTAAAGAGATTCTGGTCTGTGTCCTGCTTCTTTAGAGATCACTGTTCACCTCATATTTTATCTTGGGAGTTTACAAATAAATGGTTGCCAGCAATATGCAGAGAGAACGAATTTAACAGATACCATAATAAAAGGCTTTATTTATTTCCTTCAATTGCACTCAGAAATTACTAGCAAGCCTGTGCCATTTCTGGTTCATGACTTTAAAATGTTCACCAGAGTGAAGTACTAATTATGGTGTTCACCAGTACATTCTCTAGTGGTTGGAGTTTTATTTGTCTCTAGCCCTAGCTAGAGTACATTGAGTGTGCAAGTGATAAAGGCACAGGTAATTGTAGTGAGGTTAACATCTCAAACATAAATTACAACTGTTTCTGTATAAAAACCATGTACATTTTCTGTTTGTAAATAAGTGGTTCAGGGGACAAATATATTTACCTCTTGTGGGTTTGATCAGTTAATATAACCTCCTATGTGAAATGATATGCTAATTATATTTTAATTTGCTGTCTGTGCTCTTGTGCAGTCTGTAAATGTGTGTATTTATGTTGTTTGCTGCTAGTGTATACATTTCAATTGGAATGCTTTCTAAGAAAAGGTTTTCCAAAAGGCCTACATATTCTAAAGCAGGAGTGGCCAGCCTGTGGAGCACAGCAGATCAGAGGGGGCATAGGCAACACACTGATAAATAGAGCAGCGGGCAGAAAGCAAAGCAGATCAGGCAGGGGAAATGGTTTGGAATGGTACTAGAGAAGTACTAGGGCTTCATTTGTGGCATACCTACTGAAAAGGTTGGCTTACACTGTTCTAGAGTATGTATCTGTGTGTAAAATAGAGTAATAGACCATCAGCAGTGCAGTTCTTTAAAAAAAAATTGCTGAAGGAGGACTTTACATTCCTAGAGACTGAAATCCTCTTTTTTTCCTCCCTGTGTGGGAGAGGAATAGTCTTCTGAGGTACTTCAGAAAGTCAGAGTAAATGAATAGGCAGGTGTGTACCATTCAACCCTTGGCCTTTGTATTGAAGGGAAAAAACCCCAAATGGTACTGATAGTGACGATTATTTTCTAGCATGCACATACATGAGTTGAAATTATTCTATTACCTCTTTGATCACCGACAGTCAAACAGCGATTACATCAGTGGTTCTCAACATTTTTAGACTCAAAGGACTCCTCCACAACTTTTCAAAATGTTGCAGCAGCCCATTCAGAAAACTAATATAAATATTTATGAATAATATGCACATAATAACATTGTTAATTAGTGATTGGTTATTAATTAATTAGATCCTTACAATTATATTATACTCACCCCACTACCACTGTAGCTAAGCAGATTTGTGCTGCACGCCTCATGCAGAGCCAGATCAGGAAGTGGCTGTGGCAGCTGCATGTGCTTTTGCCATAGGCCTTTCCAGTCCAACCTAGCATGGTGTCTCCCGGAAACAGGCATGTCGAGCAGATAGAACTGTGCCGTGTGCCAGGAGGCATGTCAGAGCTAACTGAGAAATGGCTATAGCAGAAAGGTGCAGACAGGTGTCCTGTTTCTGCTGCAGCTCTTCCTGGCCCAGCTCCAAAGTGCTTCCTGAATACAGAGGTGCATGGGGCAATTCTACCTAGTGGCAGTGGCATCTGTCTCCAGGCTGCTGCCTCTGTGGGGTGACGGAGGCATGTACCTTGGTTTTCAGGAGTTGCATAGAGCCCAACTGAGAGGGAGCTGCAGGACGAGGGGGCATTGTATCTGACTCTGTTACATTCTACAAGCAGGTGTGATGCTTCTGCTTTAG